GCCCCAGCCTCCTCCAGGACTGCCCCAGCCTCCCCCTGACAACCCCAGCCTCCACCCGACCGCCCCAGCCTCCACCCGACCGCCTCAGCCTCCTCCAGGACCGTCCCAGCCTCTACCCGACCGCCCCAGCCTCCTCCAGGACCGCCCCAGCCTCCACCTGACCAACCCAGCCTCCATTCGACCGCCCCAGCCTCCTCCAGGACCGTCCCAGCCTCCACCGGGCTCATGGTCTCCCTCATGACTCCCTCACATAATTCTGCTCCCCTCTGTCAGTTGTGCTCTCAGAAATCGAGGGTGGTCATGGCACTTCGGTGACTAGAACCTTTTACCGCCTTCATGCCTCAGCCAGAACAAAATCCGGACTCCTCACAGTGGCCGGGAGACCTTCGTGGAGGCTGCCTCCGTTCTCCCCGCCTGGCTCCTCACCTGCCCCCCGGGCACCCTGTGCTTTGAGCACCTGGGCTTGCGGTCCCCTGTCGGAATGGCCTCCCACCGTCTTCTGAAGACCGGCTTTGTTGTCCACGTCTCCGGGGCACTTCCCACACCCTCGCTAAAGCACTTGAGCTTTTCTGCCACACGATTCGCCTCAGTGAGCGTGAACTGAGGGATCTCGGGGCGCTAGTCGGCCATTTATTCACTGCAACATTTCTCTCCCTCGCACCCCTCGGGGTGGGGCCTCCCGAAGGGCCACCCTGTCTTACGTCGGCCGTGCAGATGTAGAACGGGACACCCGGACACCGAGCACCCCGAGCACCCCGTCTCTGCTAAGCCCTCCACCTCGCGGACACGGGTGGGGAGGTGAGCGCCACTTCCCAGCTGGGCAGGGCCCCTCTCACCTTCCCCTCTTTTGGGATGAGGCTTCAGACCCCGACCCTGAGAGGCTAACTACCCTTCTGGTCCCCGTGCCACTGCAGTGCAGTCTGGGGACAGAGAGGGCAGGTGGCAGCCGGAGTGCAGGAGCGAGCCCGCCGTCACACGCAGCCTCCCCTCTCGCCAGGGCGCACAGACCAGGCTGAGAGCCCCGTTTGTCACCAGGTTCAGCGCTTGAATTTGGGGGTGACAGCCCCGTGCTCTCAGCGGTCCCTGGGAGGAAGGACAGGGCATGGGTGACAGGAGCCTGTCCTCGCTCCACAGATGCAGACGCTTTTTACGGAGGCTGGGGCCCGGCCTGAGAGACGCCGCCGTCATGGCACACGGTCTCCCGGGATGGCCGATGTCTGTCCCCACTGGGAAGCCTCACGGTGGGGACAGGTAGGAGGGGCTGCTGGGAGATGGGTCAGGTGAGGGGCTGAGGCCACCACTGGTCCCCGGTCTGCATCAGCCTCCCCTCCCCCGGGTTGGTCCTGACCCCCTCTTCAGTCTCCTGGACACACAGGCCCCACCGTGGGCTCGATGCAGGAGGTGGAGGGGGTCGGAAGGGGCCCCACCCACCGTCCTGCCCCCTGGCAGCCCCCCTCGTATTCCCCATGCCCCGGTGCGCTCAGAGCCCCTGCAAGCCCGTCTGCAGCAGAGCCTGTCAGGTGCAGCTCCGTGACAGGGTGTAACGAGACTCGGACAGGTGTGGGCTCCTCACCTGGGACAGAAAGGTGCACTGGGTCACTGGGGGCCGACCACTGCGAGGCAGAGCCCCTGAAAGACCCGTAGCATCTGTAGGTGCCGCTGTGGCCTGAGGGTGCAGGGCCCAGACTGAAGTCAGCCCGGAACACGTCACGGTCACGCTGCACTACAGGGAACTGGTGTGCACGGGCGTCCCCGTCCCTGGACAGATGGTACTTGTCAAAGGAGTGATTGGAGCTGCAGGTCAAGGTCACGTTCTCTCCTGCCGTCACCACAGGGCCCGGATGTGCTGAGAGAGAAGGTTTCTTATACAGGCCTGCAGGAGTACGACCGCGAGGTTAGAGTATACGCTTGTTAAAGTTGGCACATGTGCTTGCAGAGGGAGACAGAGAGACAGAGACAGCGCGGAGAGAGGGAGAAGCACCGCCCAGTGGGGAGCAGTCACACCACAATCCCTCCTCCGTCCCTCCACCCGTAGGGGCTGTGGGAACGCACACGTCCGTGCCTGGAATACGTTTAAGCCTCTGGGTTGAGGATTGAAACCAGGGCTGCCAGGTGGGCTCAGACCCCGTCACTGCTAGTCCACGCTGCCCCGGGGCATGTATCTTTATTGTTGTTGTTACTATATTTTAATTTAATTTGCTATGGAGCATGTGCGGGCACCAGAGAGAGAGGAAAATCGAGAGAGCTCCCCCGGGGGGATGGCCACGCCACAAGTCATCCCATGTCCCCCATCCGCCTCGGTTTTTGACAAGCACACATGTGCACCTGGTGTGTTTTCAAGCCTCCAGGTTCGGGACTGGGGTCATGCAGCCGGCCAGTGGGCTGCAGCGTCCTAACCACCACGAGGCCAGCCGCCTCGAGCACACGTCTCAGTCGCTCTGTGCTCACGGCACGAGTGCAGGGCCGTCACCCCCAAGGTCCCTGCCTCTGCTCTTGGCTCTGAGCCTCTCTTCATGTCTTCATCCCTGTGTCAGGCTGTGTGCGTGTGTGTGCGTGCATGTGTATGTGTGTGACTATGTTGCAAAAACTTCTCTGGGAGAGGTATTAACAGTATGCCATGCAAAAGGAGGCTGGCAAGTTCTACCGTGTCCTGCAGGATCTCAGGGCCCAGGCCCTGCGCTCCGTCCCTGACCTAGAACAGGAGGTGTGATCTTGCTTTCTCAGCCATGAGGTGGGACAGGCTGAGTTCCCCAGGACCTGCGAGGACCTCCCCGGCTGACCGTGCAGGACGGCTGTGTGACCCAGGAGTCGGAGGTGACCAGGGGTGGACGTGAGTTCTCTAGTCCTGGTGCTGGCCCGTCCCCAGTCCAGTTTCCACTCAGGTCCGCCTGGGCCTAGCCAGGGTGTGTGGTGAGTCTGGGTCTCGGGGAAGGGAGGGCTGAGGTGCTGAGGTGAGAAACTGCCCAACCTGTCACTGGGGCCGAGCTGGGACTGGCTCCGCCCCGGGTTCCCCTCTGGGTCCCCCTGTCACGCTCTGTTAGCCGAGAGGCCATGTTCTCTCTGTAAGTACAAGTTAATGTGCTTTTGCCTTCCCTCATCCCACCCTGCAGCGCCATCACTGTCTCTGCCTCTGTCTCTCCATCGTCAGAGTCTCTGTGTGTGTCTCTCCATTATTAGCATCTCTCTGTGTGTCTCTCCATTGTTAGCATCTCTATGTGTCTCTCCATTGTTAGCATCTCTGTGTGTTCTCCATTGTTAGCATCTCTGCACGTGTCTCTCCATTGTTAGCATCTCTGCACGTGTCTCTCCATTGTTAGCATCTCTGTGTGTCTCTCCATTGTTAGCATCTCTGTGTGTCTCTCCATTGTTAGCATCTCTGTGTGTCTCTCTATTATTAGCATCTCTGTGTGTCTCTCCATTGTCAGTGTGTCTCTGTGTGTCTTTCCATTGTTAGCATCTCTGTGTGTCTCTCCCATTGTTAGCTTCTCTGTCCATTGTTAGCATCTCTGTGTGTCTCTCCATTGTTAGTGTCTGTGTGTGTGTGTGTGTGTGTCTCCATTGTTAGCATCTTTGTGTGTGTCTCCATTGTTAGGGTTTCTGTGTGTGTCTCCATTGTTAGCATCTCTGTGCATCTCTCCATTGTTAGCATCTCTGTGCGTGTCTCTCCATTGTTAGTGTCTCTATGTGTCTCTTCATTGTTAGCGCCTCTGTGTGTCTCTCTCCATTGTTAGTGTCTCTGTGTGTCTCTCTATTGTTAGCATCTCTGTGTGTCTCTCCATTGTTAGCATCTCTGTGTGTGTCTCTCCATTGTTAGCACCTCTGTGCGTGTCTCTCCATTGTTAGCATCTTTGTGTGTATATGTCTCTCCATTGTTAGCATCTCTGTGTCTCTCTCCATTGTTAGCGTCTCTGTGTCTCTCCACTATTAGCATCTCTGTGCGTGTCTCTCCATTGTTAGCATCTCTGTGCGTGTCTCTCCATTGTTAGCATCTCTGTGCGTGTCTCTCCATTGTTAGCATCTCTGTGTGTCTCTCCATTGTTAGCGTCTGTGTGTGTGTCTCCATTGTTAGTATCTCTGTGTCTCTCCATTAATAGCGTCTGTGTGTGTGTCTCTCCATTGTTGGCATCTCTGTGCGTGTCTCTCCATTGTTGGCGTCTCTGTGTCTCTCCACTATTAGCATCTCTGTGCGTGTCTCTCCATTGTTGGCGTCTCTGTGTGTCTCTCACACACACCCCATACTTAGTGTCTCTGATTTTTCATCCTCATATTGTGTCAACCCTGTCACCCTCCGAAGATCCCAGGGCCTAAAGCAACTGTGGGGGGTGGGGCAGGGTGGCCCCCCTCACCTGAGACCACGAGGTCCAGGGGGTCACTGGGGGCCGACCACTCGTGGGGGGAGCGACGGAGCGACCCGTAGCACCTGTAGGTCCCCGCGTGTGCAGAGTCCACGGGGCCCATGGGGAAGTGGGCCTGGGACTGCTCAGCAGGGAGCCTCTGCCCAGGCTGCCGGCCATACTCCATGGCCCCGTCCTTGTGGAGGGTGAACTGGTCCCACGCTCGCTCTGAGCTGCAGCGCAGGGTCACATTCCCTCCTTTGTGCACGCGGGGGCCTGGGTGGGCCGACAAGGACGGCCCTGTGGCCACACCTGTGAGGTAGAGGAGAGAGTCCGGGGGCGTGAGTGGAGCGGAGCACCCCCGTCAGCGCGCCCGGAGCCCGGCGGGAGTGAGGGCCGCCCCTGCGAGCTTCGAGCGTCTGTGCCCTCCCGGTCACCGTCCTGCCTTTCTCAGCCCGAGGTTGTCCCCCTGGACTCCCTGCTGTCCTGGAGCCTCCCCTGAGCTCCTCCCGTGGCCCTTGGCTGTGAGACCCCCTCCCGCTCCTCCCTCCTGCTCCACAGGGTGGGGTGGGCTGCGAGGCGCCCTCCCACCTCCCCTTAGACTCCGACGCCCGATGAGCACGCGTGCACGCCTGGGAGGAGAGGGGACTGTCCCAGCCCAGCCCGCCTGCCCTGTGGGGGCTCTCCCGGGGAAGGCCGGCTTCTTTGTGACGGGAACGACTTTCCTGGGAGCACAGGGCTGGGGCCGGGGAGCTGCTCCTGTGGGGTCCTCCCTGCATGCGGGCCCCACCCCGGTCCTGCCCCTGGCTGACTCCTGCCCCTGGCACAGCTCCCGTGTCCCTGACCCTGGCGCCAGCTCCCAGAGCCACTTCTCTCCCACGGCCGGGTTCCCGGGGACCCTGCCACATCCTCTGACCTGTGACCACGATGTCCCGGGGGTCGCTCTGTGCTGACACCGCGGTGCGGCTGCCGGGGCCGGAGCAACTGCAGGTCCCCGCGTGCTCCCTGCTCACAGGCTCCAGGGTGAGGTTGTGGCGGAAAGAGCCGGTCTGCATCTCAGAGTCACGCGAGCTGTTGTGTTTGAACAGCTTGAACGTCCCGAGTGGAAATTGGGAATGACAGGAAAGGGTCACACGCCCGCCCAGGGGGACGACGGGGCTCGGCCGGATAGACAGAAAGAGCTTGTGGTCTGCACCTGGGGGGACAGAGGCACGGCCTGAGCCGGGACGTACCCAGGGCCTTTTCCTCCTGTGCTCTCGCCCAAGTCTGCCCCATGAGGAGTCCCTGATGGCCAGGCCACGGGGGCCAGGAGCACAGCCCTCCCCAGGGCACTAAGGACGGTCCTCAGAGTGTGCACAGGAGCACAGCCCTCCCCAGGGCACTAAGGACGGTCCTCAGTGTGCACAGGAGCACAACCCTCCCCAGGGCACTAAGGACGGTCCTCAGAGTGTGCACAGGAGCACAGCCCTCCCCAGGGCACTAAGGACGGTCCTCGGTGTGCACAGGAGCACAGCCCTCCCCGGGGCACTAAGGACGGTCCTCAGAGTGATGCACAAACAGCCTTTGACAATGTTCCTACGAGAACGATACTCCTCACGGGAGAGGAGCTGAGACCCGTCAGAGTGAACAGACAGAGTGTGGCCGGCTTCACGCAGTTCTCCACACAGGGTGTGGCCTCCGAGTCCGGCCGCAGGACGCCCTTCAGCTCACGTCCAGCTCGGCCGCAGGTGGCGGCTGCTCCTGGCCCTCAGGGGTCCTCGTGGACCACTTTGGCCCCTTCTCCCCTCATGGAGGCCATTCCAGCCCGTCCCTGAGACCACAGGTTCTGAACATCTTGGACTCGCTCGGGGATGCCCCCCCAACGGGTCTAGGGAGGGGCTGTAGAACAAGGGGAGAGCCTGGGGTTCCAGTGGGCCGCACTGCCTGTCTCCAGGGTGCACGGCCACGTCCTCCATTCTTCAGCCTCAGCCCAACCGCGCTCCCCCACCCCGCCCGCGAGAACCTGGCGTTTGAACAGCTCGGCCCGGACTAGGGACGACTCACCCCCGCGTGTCCTCATCATCTGGCCCAGACAGAGTCCTGGAAGGGAGACCCCATTGGAGCCAGTGGGTCCCACAGGCGTCCTGTCCTCCCGTAGCCGGGCCTGGTCTTGGTCTCAGCCGGGCTTGGGCGGTGGATGGGCTCGGCCTCCCAAGGCCTCCGGCCTCCAGCCCGGGCGTGGCAGCTCAGGCCTTCAGGACAGGCCTTTCCCCACGATCCGCTCTCCCTTCCCTTCCGGGACTTACCAAGATGCAGGAGGCTGAGGATGCTGGGGGCCATTGCCCTGCTTCTGGGGGACAGGGCGGGCTGAGCGAGACTGGGAAACAGGCAGGAAGTGGCCGCCCTGGCCCAAGCTCGCAGTCTGCAGCTCCCGGTGCCCACCACACAGGAAGGTGACCAGAGGCTTCTCACCCTGACCCTGGGCGGGGCGTGGGGGACTCAGATGAGTGTCAGGGTCAGCAGCACCCCACCAAGGCCTGCCCTGGACCCGGGCCAAGTGTACTGATTTCAAATTTGATTTTGTCCACCCGAACCACACGGAGAGATCTAACGTTATCTGTCTGCCTTTTCTGAGACCTCTGAATGGCTGGTTTATAGTCAGCTCTCACCTGCAGGATGAACACGTGCTGTTAATGTGTAAAGTGAACAGCAAATGCTCATTATTACTAGAGGAAGTTAATATATTCCAGTTTCGGAAACATTTTCAGATTCTTAATTTCTTCCCAAACATCAAGTAGATAAGAACAATTAGTTGTGCGTTTTAATAATAATAGTATAAATATTTTCAAACTTGATGACGTCACATCAAGCAGCAGCTCTGGGAGTCACCAGGGCACGTGGGGCCAAGGTGCTCACAATGTCCTGGCTGCCAGCTCCCGGGCCGTCCTCGGTAACCACCGCGCCGGGCTCGGGGGTCTCGCCGGAGTTCTTCCAGTGTCCGCGTCACGGGTAAATCCACGCCCCGTGCACGTAATTCTCGATGTGTAGCTTCTCCACTGGGAACACGAGCGCAGTCTTCTCCGTTTCTGGTCTCACAGCCACACTGCCCCGTCCACGCTGGCCCCGTAGCTCTGGTCAACTCCTGACTGACGCGTGGTCGTCCTCGGCCCGACTGTCCCTCAGGGTCTTGGTCTCTTCCCCCCAGTACGACCCGTGCAAGTGCCAGGCCTTGTCCTGTGAGGGGACCTGCCCTGCACACGCCTGCTCGTGCCCGGCTGTGGATGTGCCTGCCCCGGTACCCGTGCTGGGCACAGGCAGGTGCGGACAGAAGTGCCTGGTAACAAGGCGGGCTCCGGACCGTGGTGCCGTCCTCCCGGTGGGGTCAGACGTCATGTCCACTTCTGGGCACGTCAGGCCACGGAGGACAACGCGGGTGCGAGCACTGACTGGCGTGAGTGCACCCAGGAGCTGCGAGATGAGCTGCCGTCAGCAGCCCGGGGCGCTCGGCAGCTTCTCTGTTCCTGGGAAGATACTTTTTACTTTTTACAGAAAACCAGAACGCCCAAATAAAACAGCGGCCGCGACCGTGAAATGTCACGTGTTTCCAGGATGCCTCAGTGAGAGCTCCCCGCGTGCTCGGCCGCCCCCAGCCAGACACGGAGCACGGACCTGCAGCGGGACGCGTCGGGACGCGTTTCCTTCTTTCCACGTTGTTGCCCCATGTCCCGTTTCATCGCTGTCCCTGGACGGGGGTGCAGTGTGGTTTCCGCAGCGCGTAGGCCGTGTGTGACAGCCAGCTCAGGGTCTGGCCACGCCCATCAGCGAAGCACACGACGTAACGCCGTGCACCTTCCGTGTGCCCACTGGTTTGTTTGTATGTAGGTGTACACGCATGCACACACACACACATACACAGCGACGCCTTTCCCCTGCCGTGGCACCCTGCACCCGGTTGCCTTGTTGCCAGGCCTCCTTGCGTCTGTTCATCTCTCCCCGAGCCCCTCTTCCCCACTCCCCAGCCGTCTCTGGCACCTACAGTGGCCTCTGCTCTTCCCTGTCTTCGAGTCTCTCACTGCCGGCCCTAGAGTGTGGACGCTGGGTCTGTGATTAGCGTGGACACACTGGGTCTTCGCTCATCGCCTGGCTTTGTCACTCGGCATTGCATTCTGGGTCTGTCCACTCTATGTCGCATGGCAGGACCTCGCTGTCCTCAGCCTCGAGACCGAGCAGTACCCCACTGTCTGTTAGCTTTTCCTCTGGGGACGGGACAGTCCCCTCGTTTCTGGCCTTGCAGTCACACCGCCCCGCCCGTGTTGGCTCCATAGCTCTGGTTAATCCTCACTGACGTGTGGCCGTCCTCAGTCCCACTGTCCCTCAGTGTCTTGTCATCCTCCTCAATATGCCCGTGTAATTGCCAGACATTCTCCTGTGAGGGAACCTGCCCTGCACACGCCTGCAGGTGCCCGACTGTGGGAGTACGAGAACTTGTGAACGCAGACTTGGTTTGGGTGTGCTCAAAGGTGTTTGTGGGTTCCTTGCCAGGAAGGGAGGTTAGCAGTGTTGCACTGGAGTGAAGCCAACGAACGTGTGAGGTGAGCGGTTTTAATCCGTCTATTTGTACGCAGCATAAACGTAAATGCAAAGAGTCATTACATTCCGGAGGAGCCGCGGCGTAACAGCATCAGCAGTGACGTGACTTCCAAAGAAGAAACTGGCAGTCAGAGCCGAGGGCTAAGAAATAAAGTTCAAGGCATTGAGGACAACTGAGCATTTCGTGTTCGTTCTTCACACAAAGGATGCCCTTCTGTGTGATCTGTGCATTGGTGACAGAGGTCATGACAGAGGTGTTCCCGTAGGCCGGACTTCGATTCCTGAGCTTCGTGCACGAATCTGCAACTCTTAGCTCAAGCCGAGCGCATGAAGTACGTATGACACCCAACGCGCTGCGCCGGTACAATAGGCGGTGAATGTTTTTATGCGCTGCTTCGAGGAGACAGTAGGGACAGGAGGAAACTTTCCCGTGAGTGTTATGCAAATCAATGAACAGGTGCGTACACGACTGATTAGATTAATAAGGTTGTTGAAGACAAGGATCAATAACATTTCAAATCCCACTAGCTGAGTTAAAAGATATTCCTTTGAAGACCATTGAATAATTTTAAATCTTATGCCTCATGGACATGCAGGCTCCTGGGAAAACAAACACAAGACTGAATTCAGAACATCGGAACAAACTATGCCCTGAGCTTCTGAATATTGATCCTCTAATGCCTTTATTTGAATTTTGCTATGGGTGCATGCACTTGCTGGAAACAGGGAGAGGTGAGAAAGCACCCCCAGGAGGGATGCCATGCAGCAACCCCTTCTATCCCATTCTCCTCTTGGATTTTGAACACACATGTCCAGGTGGCCAGAGTGTTTATGCCGCCTGGTCCAGGTCTCGAACTGCAGTCAGCCGTGGAATCCAGCTGCCTTGCCTCCATGCCACCTGGCTGGCCCTATTGATCCTTTTCAAGTGACCCAAGCATAGCTACTCCTCACTTTGTCCTCTGTCCAGAAGCCCCAGTCTGCTGAGGTGGGATGCTGGCCTGTCTCCCGTGTCGGTCAGAGCGGGACAATCGCCTGTCACGTAGCTCTGACTTCTGTCGCTCTGGGCACTTCCTGCCGCACAGTCACAGCCCC